TATTCTCTTTGTTTCTATAATGATAATTTGTAGCACGTGCTTTAACAGTGTGTTTTAGATAAGGAAAAATTCACTATGCATTTCTTCGATATACTTGTAATAAGCAGGAAGATATCATTGCGATCAGCTTAAAAGCCTTTAAAACGTTCGCTTAAAAAACTTTCTCTTGACTACTAAGTATCTTAGCTATCAGTAAAGCAGCGAGACCATGGGCTCTTACAATAAGCTATAAACATTTGAAAATAAAATAATTTATCGTAAGGATCTGGAAATGAAAGATAAGTGTCAAAAGGTTTCATGAAAAGGCGGCAATGTTGATCTGCAGTGGGATATTACATTCATTACATACACCCATTGTTGCTTAATTTACAAAAATAAGCTTTTTGACCACATTACTATGCAAAATTTAATTCAAAGCTTTTTCTGCATCCGAGATGACACTGGAAACCTAGAGGAAAACAATTATTTAAAATGTTCTCCAGTATATTGTTTGTGAATTTCTTGACTGTAAAGGTAATGACATTTCAGTGAAACTATTTTATATCCCCTTCACTTCGATGAATATGATTTGCGTTCACAGCATGCGAGGAATTTTTCGAGAGAAGGTAGACGTAGACAAATGCTAGCGGAAGAAAAAGAAAATAGGCTAAGGAACAAATAAATCAGTGAGAAAACGAAGTGAAACAAACACACTTGCGGAGCCAACGGCGAAATTTTATTCCTAGCTTCATTCATAATTAATCAAAATCCGGCGAGATAATAATTTTCTTTAGTTCCCTGCAGGTTTACTGTTTTCCTCCAACGTGGTTTGAGCATGAAAAATAGCCATTAGCAAGCCTGTCGTTCTGTGACATTTTGAAAGATAAATTCCTCTGAAACAATGATCAAAACGAAACAAAAGAACGGTGAAAAGAAAAAAACAAAAAGAAAGAAAGGAAGAAAAGGTAGGGAGAGACTGATTTTTATTATTGCTATCACTTAATAACTTTTCTGGGGATACGTAATTAGGTCTTAGAGCCAATTTTGATAAATGTAAGTCTTGAGAGCTAATGTCAACATTCATCAAATTCGTTTTCTCTCCTACTTTAATATTTTCTAGCCCAACATGTCCTAATAATTGTGTTGTGGTTTTTCTGGAAAATATATACTTCAGTTTTTGAGAAATTAGTTTTTTAGTTCGACCGCTCAAATATGCAAATTTTCACCCTGAATATTACCCGAGTTGTGTGACCTCGTGTAACGAATTTACGTGACCTCCGGTAATTCTGTGGGCATAATCCTTTGTTTTATCATCTAAACTTAATCCCCTGTCATTATTGAAGATGTAAAGAAATATTTATTTTTTGGTGAATCTTTTTGTCTGACATACTTTTTCTATGTCTAAAAGTGGCATCAAAACAAAGACAGTTTTAAAAATGACCGATATGACAGAATCTACTGAGCTTCTAGCTTTTAAAAGACAAGAGGATGGTTATAAAGTTACTGTTATATAGTGAGACGAACTCAAAGTCTGGCAAAGTTTACTTGCTTACTTGGTGTTGTTCATTTCTTGTTGCATTCGCAGTACGCTTTTTTGTATACCTGATGTGAAATCAGATTTAACTCAAATACGTCCCTCCTCTAGCGATTTCTATTGACTCGTCGGACGAATTATACTGGAGGAGAGACCAGGTGTGATGCACAATCGGATACGACAACACTTCTAGTGAGTATTTCTGTTATCGATAACGATCTACCTAATGACCTCACTGCAAGACTTTGAACTTGCTTTATCGTTCACTGAGTGAGTATCCAATTGACTCGATTGTTTTTGCGTCTTAATGGAGCGTAAAAACGCAAAAAAAAACAACATCTAACTATTTTTCTCGGAAAATGTTAGGCAATAATTATTATATTGTCACAAAAAGACGCGGAGAATTTCGTTTTCTTGCTGGCGATTTCACTGTAGGCAATCTTGGCCGCCCCTGGTGCTGGTGGGAAACAAGAATCGCCCCATATTTCGACAGGTTGTCGGTTTTTAGGGATATTTCATAGCTGCGGGTTTTCATTTCAAGAGAATTTTAAACGATAACGCAGTTTTGTGCGTAATTTCGCAGTATCTAATTCTATAACGTGTAACAACCTACTCCTAATATAAATATTTAACCCCTCACATGCTCGAGCCGTCCTGGGGATTATTGACAACACATAAACATAATATTTCACAGCCTTAGGATTCTGGGAAAATTTTATTGCTTTTCACTTGCACATTGAGCTGTTTATTTGTAACACACCATTACTGGATGAAAAAAAGGATTTGTGATGAAGTAACTTCTTTGGAAAAGAATGCATCAGGAGTGCTCTAAAGGAATCAGTTAAATCCCTTTTGTGGATTGGAATGCATCTTTTGTTTACATTTGCAGATCCACTGTTTCAACATTACGCAAGATTTTTTGAAATAAAATTTAGTATAAAAGACAAGGATTCTCCCTCTAAAGTAGGCAAATCATTTTTTCTTCGAAGGAGAGAGAGAGGGGAGGGGGGGGTTAATCTCAAAATGAAGGTAATCCTTCACTCAATTCTGTTATGTTTTATTATGTCTTATTTATTGGTCCTTCGTTTTTAGTTTTAAATTGATTTTTAGACTTGATTTAGCCGGATTTTACCCTTCATACGCAAACAGAATAGGAAGGTTGTGGATATTAGAAGTAGTTCCCCTGCTCGATTATCGCCTGTATAGTCAAGAAGGTCACTAAAAATATACTGGTGAGTTTTAAAGGAGAAAAGTGTTCTTGAAGTTTTACTTCATTCGAAAACATCAAAAAGCTGTTGCTACATCGTAATTGAGACTGGAGGCTTTGTGCAAATCTAACAAAAAAAACTCTCCAGTATATTGTTTGTGACTTTCCTGACTGTGCAGGCGATGATCGAGCAGGGGAATTATTTCAAATTTCACAGCCTTCCTTTCCCGTTTTGCGCGTGAATGATAAAGTCCGGCTAAAAAAAATCAATTTAAAACCCAAATCGAAGGACCAACGAATAAACAAAAGAAACTATCTTCGTTTGGAGATAGCCCCCCCTCTCCTTAGACAAAGTATCGATTTGACACCACGTTCTCGTCTCTAGCGAAAGAACATGTTTGACACAAAAATATTTGGGGAATTTTGAAAGACAATTTCCCAATGCTGGGCCTACTAGATTAAGGATTGGTACATCTGCAGGAGACAATGGAAACTGTGTACAGTGTAATATAAATTAAACAGGAAGCTAAACAGAAGTTGGGGCTTACAGTTTTGCTTTGGCTGAAACTGGAGAAGAAACGAGTAAAAAAATACTTAAATTGTCTACTTTAAGGGGAGAATCCTTGTCTTTTACACTAAATTCTATTTCAAAAAATCATGCATAATTTTGAAACAATGGATCCGCAAATTTAGACCACCTTAGTGCTTTTCCAAAGAAGTTGCTTCATTACGAATCCTTTTCTTTTCATCTAAAACTCGTCGAATCTCAGCTGGCCACCATGGGCTAAGAAAGTCAAGTCGAGTCGATTCTCATCTCCTGGGTGGAGGGAATAATGGCTTAACAATGAGAAGGTGTGTAGTCATCCTAGTATTACATTGATAGTTATCAATAATTGATACAGTTTGTCAGTGAGGCATCTGTCAAAGACTTTGCGAACGCTTAAACAGTGCTAGACTCGCACTTCTCCCCTCAAAAGTGAGTTTTGTGAATGATGTCCTAATGTTATGTTGAGGATGGTAGAGCACTGTTCTTTATTTTTGTCTTCGCTCTTAAATTATTTTCTGTGTGGAGGATGGCTTATTTGCTTTGTAGAAGGAAACCAAGGTAAAGAATTTTGGTTCACTCCTTTCTTCACTTAATGCAACTTTAATTTAATATGCGACTTATTGACTGCCTGAAAAAATTCAAACTAAATTCTTATTAAGAAAGTCTCCTCTACCTTTCTAAGAGCGGAATTTTTATTTTTTCCATCTACTCTTCATATTTAAGTTTAGTTTTGCTATTGATTTTATTTCTCAACTTTGAAATCGAGTAAGCATGGTATTTTAATTTATTATTCTTCTTCCTATTTCATAACTTTAATTCAACAAAATGCTTTGGTTTTTTTTCGGTGTAAATGGTTCCTTTATCTTTTTTTTCTTCTCGTGGTTGAACTCTTCTTTTACATAAACTTTGAATAACATTTCACCAACTTACGGTAAACTTAAAAGATACGCTAAACTTATTCGTCTCTTAGTTTTATTTTACTTTGTTTTCCTAAGTTTTTAAGTATTTTGTCAATATGGCGCAGTTCACATAGCTTTGATCAAAAAGGAAAGGGGAGGGAGGGGTGATTGAGGACGCTAGCGTACGTTCTTTTGGGGAAAGATGTTTATTTTTTGTTCCTTTCACTCCCCTTTCGTTTTTTTCCCCTAGCTTCGTTGTCATACCATTAAATAAGGTGTAACTTATGACAAGAACATGTTTATATTCCACAAAATATCTTGTTTCTAATTAACGAAAAAATCATAAATAAGTTATAAGAGAAAAAGAAAATTTTCATACAGCATTGTTAAAAATCCAATCAGAGCACTCGCATTATTCCTCAGGACAATCTTCCCATATAATAAACGTATTCGACAACCATAAATTGATTTAGCAAATCTCGGCAATATTCAAGCTGGCGCTTTCTCTTTTAAAACGATAGCTCATTTGCGCAACATTGACGACTAACCTGCAATTAGACCGTCGCTGATTTAACGTTGAACAGAAATGTGGACGAATTGGCTAAATTCATTACGGACGTAGGGCTTATTCCAGCTGTTAAAGCACTAGAATAAGACGTATCTGGAGGACGCGAATTTGTAATGCTATTTGATGCATTAAAAAAGGTCCAACATGCTTGTCACCATATCTCTAACTAATCGGTTGCAGGTATTCATTGCCGAAGTCTTATGTTTGAGAAGTCAGTTGGAGGACGTGCTCTACAACAGCACGTTTTCAAACAAATATATTTAACCATGGCAATTGAGCCCCATAGCGATTGCAAGAATAGGTGCCTCATGGAAAACACCTGTGTGTCTGTGAACGTTGGTCCACCCGACAAGAATGGACTCAGGGTCTGTCAACTGAGTGATTCTGATCACACTCAACATCCTGATGACCTGAAACCCCAAGAAGGATACCAGTATTGGGCTACAAAGGTGCGGATATTCGGATAGAACACAATACAATAGATTCATTTTCTAATTCTCCTTGGTATGGTTATGTTTAGTTTTTTTTAAAGTAAATCCCACTAAAGACAACTTTATCTCGGCAGAATCCATGTTCAAGCAGCCCTTGTCTTCATAATGCAACCTGCCTATATGGGTTCACAGATAAGAGATACATTTGCTTGTGTCAAGCTGGTTACAAGGGGAACAAATGTGAAAAAAAAGGTGACCAGAAGCTGAGAATTGATCTGAGTAAATGTCAGGTTTACCTTCATACGTGTTTGTTTTCTCCTTCTATGAATCTTTTACTGTGACACGCCTCGTGGTACGCTTCATTAATATTATTATTATTATTATCATTATTATTATTTTTGTTGTTTTTTGTTTTCTCTTTGTTTTTGCTCTTTCCCACCTTCAATGTTCGCGGTTGATATCCGTGTAAGACATTTTGTGGAGGTGGATTAATTAATCTGTCATTTGAAAGCCAAATATACGAAGTAGACAGTTAATTTATCCTTTCTTATATTTTTCCTTGCCCCTTTAGGCATAGTAAAAATGTTTACGTAATTAATGAAGAAGATACGAATTAAGCTTGTGTATAACTGCGCGCCTTTGTGTCATCTTTAAGAGAGCTAAAAGAAATTGTGCTATAAAAAAATATGTTGATATGAGGTTGTTTGTTTTCCCCTCAGCATTCAAAGCAATTTTTACAAATCTCAATGCCACTGGAAGATGTGGTCCAACAACGCTGGGCAGTCACTATACAGGTCAAGATCATGACGGACAAGTTACATTGTCTAGCGGTATTCAACAGTGGACTGTGCCGTACACTGGTGACTACAGAATAGAAGCGGTAGGAGCAGCAGGAGGGTACGATGGAGCTAATAACAACCCTCAGTATCGAGGGAGAGGAGCAAGAATGATTGGAACATTCCGTTTAAAGGAGGACGAAGTCATCCAGATACTTGTAGGTCAAGAAGGAGGAATAAACAAGATGGATAAATCCTCTGGCGGTGGTGGAGGTACATTTGTGGTGAGAGGAACTGATACACCTTTAATAATAGCTGGAGGCGGAGGAGGGATAGATTCTGCTAAGTCAATACATGTAGAATGTGACGCCAGCACAAGCAAAACAGGGAAATCTGGACACAAGTCATGGTCAGGGGGGAGCAATGGGCATGGTGCGCAGACTGCTGATGGTGGCTACTCAGGTAAGAGTATACTGTGGTGATCCCTTACCTATTAGCTCCTTATTAATGAATGTGTTAATGTATTCTTCAAATTTAAATCATTGGCCCTAGTCCCACAAAAAAAAAAACAAAACACTAAGACTACCTAGGACGAGGACCAGTTTATACATCCAGGGATAATATAGGCACATATAAAAATATTCTGCCTGAGGGATGGCGGCTCAATAGAGATGCATCATTTAAAGGTTTGAGCACGCTGATATGAGCACTTTAGGGATTATTTTTAAAAAAAGTGTTTTGTAATTAAAAATTAATCATCATGTTTGTTTTTGTTTTGTTTTCAGGTGGTGGTGGTGGCGGGTTTTACTCCAGTGGAAGAAGTGGAACTGATTTCAAGGGGACCAAGGGAGTGGGCGGAGAAGGTGGTAAGGGATTTCTTCAGAGAGGGGAGGGTGGGAGATCACTGCATCACAATGTTGTTGGTGGGTTTGGTGGAGGAGGTGGAGCTCATAGAGAGTCAGGAGGAGGAGGAGGAGGAGGGTACTCTGGTGGAAGCAGTGGAGATGGTTCTCGTGATAGCTGTGGGGGTGGGGGTGGCTCCTACAATGATGGAAACAACCATGACAATGAATGCTGTTATAAAACGGCTGGTCATGGTCAGGTGACTATCACATTACTGTAAAACAATAATACAAAGCGATGATGAGATAAAGGTTTATCTCTGTTTGATTGGCATTCTAATTGTTCTTATTGATAACCAAAAGGTAAATAGAGCTCTTAAGATATGAGATAATGAAGGAAACTTGTTTTTCAGAAATCGAGTCTCGCTGATAGGCTTTTGTAGGTCATGAGGTCATGTCGAAAGATGACGTAATCGCATGGACGAGACATCCCAACATGTAATTTTATGAGACAATTGCAATGAGAAACAAACTCCCGACGTTTATATCTTCTGAAAGCTTTGGCTTTTTGTTCATATACCTTCTCTATTTCAAATCTTTACTGACCTTCCTTTACCTTCCTTTAGAAGATCAGAAAAGATTTGATATCCAGAAGCAATGACTGACCCCTTTCACACTGGATTACTTTAGAATCATTGTCTTTTCGAATGCAGCTTTAATTTAGAGTTTGAGCATGTTTTATCAGATGGTGAAGACGATTTTCCATAATTTGAATTCTCTCCCGAAATAGTTAGGATGTGCACGCTGGCATAAAGAATGAAAATCCAACAGAGCTGCCACGACAGCTTTGTAAATTGACGGGTTTTATTGTAAATAAATGCTAAAATTGACCAAAATTAAGAAGAAAGTATTTGACTTAACGTACAACATTTGTCAAAAGGCATTGCTGGTTCTATAAAATGTTCCTTTCCAATATTTGAATTATAAGTATTGCATGAGTTTTTTACTAAAGGGATAATATTCTCTTTGTTTCTGTAATAATAATTTGTATCACGTTTTTTGACAGTGTGTAGATAATGAATAATACACTATGTATTTCTTAGATATACTTGTGGTAAACAGGAGGGTATGATTGCCATCAGCTTAAAAGCCTTTAAAACTTTCGCTTAAAAACCTTTGCCTTGACTTCTAAGTATTTTAGCCATCAGAAAACCAGCCAGACCACGGGCTCTTACGGTAAACTATAACATGAAAATAAAAATTATTTATTGTAAGGATCTTGAAATGAAAGATAAGCGTTAAAAGGGTTTCATGAAAAGGTGGTAGTGTTAATCTGCGGTGGGATATTACTAACATTTATTATAAACACATTTTTGCTTAGTTTATAAACATAAGCTTTTTCATCACATTACCATGCAAAATTTAAGTCAAAGCTTTTTCTGCATCCTAAATGACACTTGAAACTCAAAGCAAGGCAATTAATAAAAATGTTCTCCAGTATATCGTTTGTGAATTTCTTGACTGTTTAGGCAATGATCTTTCAATGAAACTATTTCATATTTCCTTAACTTCGATAAATATGATTTACGCTCACAAAATGCGAGGATTTTTCGAGAAAAGGTAGAGATATACACATATTAGAAAAAAAGAAGATAAGCTAAGAAACATAACAATAATAATAATAATAAAACCAAGTGGAACAAACACAAAGCTAAAATAACAGATCTAAGTTGGGGGTTGGAGGAAGGGTGTCCCTGTCACCCACCTGAGGAAAGGGTTGAAGAATTGAAAAAGAAGGAGGCTGATATACAGCCATCTTGATCGAACAAGCGTGGTCAATAACTGATTAACTCTAAAGCAAAGAGATCATCACATTATTTAAAGGACAGATACAAGAAAACCTTTCATCCATTGTTTAGGAATTCAAACTTATAAAGTATTTAAGTTAAGTTCCCGTACACTTTGTTTCAACATGTCTTGAAAGTTTCTTTGTTGGCTTCCTTCTAAAATCGCGGTTCCCTTCTTTTTCAATTTTAATGGGCCATATAAGTACTAAATCTCGTCGCCCTCACGTTTTTTCGAGATGGTCGCATCAGTTTTTACTTCAGAACTCTATCGATGTGGTAAATTAGGATTTCCAATCTGCTGAAAATTGCATTAATTTCAAGCCCGATTCGTCAGGCCATTGCTTTTCTTCAATTACAGATGTGGATTACTTGAGGTGTTGCCATAGGAAAAATGTTTTTAAAAACCCAGACACAAGAATGTTAAAGTTATTTCATTATGGCCTGCAGCTGTTAAGGTGAAGAACCAGCCTTCAAACAAAACAAGGAAAAATATGAAAGAAAGCACCTGGAAGCGACGGTCCTTCATCCTTAGAGTTTTGCCGGAGAAGAACGTTTTTAACTCTCTTATCACGATAGTTTGGTTCTTAAAAATATTTTCAGGTAATGTGAGACAAACGAAACAACCATCAGTTATCTTCCTCTCGTATTGTTGGGTTCTTGCAGAGCCCAACGGCGAAGTTGAGTTTCTACCGTCATTCATTATTAATCAAATTTGGCGAGATAATAACTTTCTTTAGTTCCCTGTTTACTATTTTCCTTCAGCATCCTTTTAGCATGAAAATACCCGCTAGCGAGTCTCTCCTTTTGTGCCATTTTGAAAGAATATTCCTCTGAAACAATGATCACAACGAAACAAAAAAACCGTGAAAAAGAAAATAAAACAAAAGGAAGAAAATGCAGGAAGATACTCATTATTTCTTATTACTATCACTGAATAACTTTTCTGGGGATACGTGAGTATTACGTGTAGTATTTTCTCATAAAGGAGCAGTGAAAAACCTATATACCTTTTCGAGTGAGCTGAGGAGTTAATTCCACGCACTACTTGTCAAAATTTAAATTCTTTTCGAGCCTTTGGGCGAGAAAAATAATTAGAAATTACAAGGCGGTAAGACAACAAAAAAACCGAAAAAGTTGCTACAACAGCTGTCTGGATTTGTATGTTGAAATTGTAAAGAAAAGTTAAAGTTTCAGACCAAAATTAGGTACAACGTATCTGTTAGTATTTGGTTAAATCATGACCATTAAAAATTCCTCAAACATTGTTGGTACATTCGCAGCTTCAGTTTTCACGAATCGTTGTGTACAGTGTAATCGGAAAGTGCAATCGGACAGTCGGCTTCAATTGGAGACCTGCAGTCGGACAGTTGAAACAGCCAATCATTCTAAGTCCACTCAGCTAATCCACCAATCAAAGAAGTGAAAAAATAACCATAGCAACAACCACTTATCCAAAGAAAAACTGGGGAAGTTCTAAAATGGAGGAATTTTTAACTAAAGACATTATCTCCACTGGAGATATTTGTTGTAGGTGTATTTGTTTCTTTCGGAAATTGAAATGGTTATGATTAATTGATAACAGGACTTCTTGTCGTTCAATTCTGTCTGTAATCATATTAAGATTTTGTCAATCACTCCTATGACTACAGATCGAATTGGACTCCACTCGGTCCTATTACCACTATTAATATTACCTATGGAAAGTAAAATTGTCCTTTTGTCGGGTGAATAATTCATATTGCACAGAGTATGATTTAAGTGATATATTTACATTTACATATAGTTCTAGATAACTGCGTAACCTTCGTTTGGTTTTCTAACATACCTTTTACAAGAATTTATGTCACGCATTTTGGTAGAGCGCGCTGGATATGAAAAGTACAGTAACCATGTATTTCATAGATACACTTTTGATAAACAAACGGATATCGAAGCCTTCGGCTAAAAAGTTGTTTGTTTGACCTAGAAAGAGAAAAACTGCTCCATGACATGAGGTTCAATCGAGCGTGTGAAAAAGGATGATTGAATCTCTGTTTCACTCGAACTGAAGAAGCTTGATGTTAATTTACCTTACCTAACGCTAACATTACCTTAAGTAAGACTTAGCTGTAAATGTGACACAGGGTAAGTCTTAACGTAGCATCTCCGCATAAAACTTTTGAAGGAGATAAGTGTTCTTGAAGTTTTATTTCATTCGAAAACATCAGAAAGCTGTTACTACATCGTAGGTGAGACTGGAAGCTTGGTGCAAAGCTATCAATAAAGAAAACTCTCCAATATTTTGTTTGTGACTCTCTTGACTGTGCAAGCGATGATCGCACGGGAAAACTATTTCAAATTTCCACAACCTTCCCTTTCTGTTTGCGCTTGAATGAATAAATCCGGCTAAATCAAGTCTAAAAATCAATTCAAAACTAAAAAAAGGAAGAACCAACAAATAAATAACAACATCAGAATTGAGTGAAGGGTTACAATAGCTATACAGTATTTTCATAGCAAAGAATTTGTTTCTTTACAAATCTTTTTTTATCCACTGATGGCCTGTCGTGAATAAACAGCTCAGTGATTCCCAAGGCTGTGAAATGTTATGTTTATGTGTTGTCAAATTGACGTATACACAGGTTAAGTCAATATTTTGACTTCCCGACGCAAATGAATGTCTTAGCTTTTCGTTCTTTGCGAAATTTCGCATTGATCTGTTTTAACCGTGATGAAAAGTCTCATGTCACAATGTCTCTTCGGTAACTGATCGCAGTGATTCGGTAAATTCAAATTTTAGGTGTGTTTCAACAAGCGGCACTCAAAAAGTCATCGTATCTCAGCTGGCCGCTGTGGGCTTAGAAGGTCAAGTCGAATCTATTCTCATCTCCTGGGTGGAGGGAATAATGGCTTAACAATGAGAAGGTGTATATGTCAGTTGAGTATCGCATTGATAGTTATAAATAATTGATACAGTTTCTCAGTGATGAATCTGTCAAAGACTTTGGGAACGCCTAAACAGTGCTAAACTCCCGCTTCTCCACTCGAAAGTGAGATTTGAGAGTCATGTCCTAGTGTTATGTTGAGGATGGAAGAGCACTATTCTTTATTTTTGTCTTCGCATTTAAATTTTTTGCTGTGGGGAGGATGGCTTCTATGCTTTACAGAAGGTAACCAAGGTAGAGAATTTGATTCACTTTTCTCCTCACTTAATGCAACTTTAATTAAATATGCGAGTTATTAACTGCCTGAGAAAAGTCAATTTAAATTCTTGTTAAGAAAATCCCCCTTACCTTTCTAAGAGCGAAATTTTCATTTTGTCCTTCTACTCTTCATATTTAACCTAATTTTGCTATGGATTTCATTTCTCAACTTTGAAATCGAATAAGTATGATATTTTAATTCAATATTCTTCTTCTTATTTCATAGCTTTAATTCAACAAAATGCTTATGCTTTTTTTCCGGTGTAAATGGTTTCTTTTATCCTCGATGTTTTTCATCTGGTGGTGGAATTTTTTTTACGTCAACTTTGCAATACATTTCACCAACTTGCGGTAAACTTATAAGATACGCCACACTTCTACGTCTCTTAGTTTTATTTCACTTTGTTTTCCCAGCTATACAGTATTTTGTCAATATGACGCACTTCACATACTTTCAATCAAAATGGAAGAGGGGGAGGGAGGGAAGGGGGATTGAGTACGCTATCGTACGTTCTTTTGGGGGAAAACGCTTATATTTTGTTCCTTTCACTCTTTTACTCTAGCTACGTTGTCATATCACTAAATAAGAATAGGTTTATATTCCACAAAATATCTTGTTTCTAATTAAAGAAAAGATCATGAATAAGATATGAGAGAAAAAGGAAATTTTCATGCAGTATTGTTTAAAATCAAACATGTAGAAATAATAAATTTCATTCCTAAAACACTCCGAATAAAAGCTGATTTTTTTTGGTCACAATTGTATAATGTGATCGATCTAAAGGAAACGCGAGAATTTATACAGAACTGTACTTTACTCACTTTGAAAAATACTTTGAGAGGTGAAGTTATAACGTTTCTAATAAGATTATTGTACAGAGTTACTCGTACCATAGACCCCTTTAGTTTCTCTGTCCCTCAGAATCATCCATTAAAAATACAGCCGTGTGATGTAAAATTTTATCACAGTTCTAGATCTTTATTTTGTTTTAACTTTGCGAGGTAAGTAGCTTTGCTTACGAAATCTCGTATGATGAAAAGTCAGCCAAAAGCCTTGAATGCTAATTTCTTACCAACCGAGCGAGGGGGCCGTACTGGGGAATATTGGCCTAAGGTCACAGCGCTCGGTCCGTACAGAAGCAACCGAGGGTCAATAATCCCCTGGACGGTTCGAGCAAGTGAGGTAGGTAAGTAGGCCGAACGTTTTTTGATTTTGCCCTGTTTCGTATTCAAAAATACACGGCTCATGGCTGTGTCCTTAGAGAGAAGACCTTACGGCAGAGGAGAATCATTAATAACCGCTCAGAGCGCTCGGAATTTTCTTTCAACACTGTCTTATTCGTATTTGATAACCATAAATTTCTGTAACTAATCTCGGCAATATTTGAACTGGCGCTTTCTCTTTTAAGACGCACAGCATTGCGCAGCATTGACGACTAACCTGCAATTAGACCGTCGCTGATTTAACGTTGAACAGAAATGTGGACGAAGTGGCTAAATTCTCAACAGACGTAGGGCTTATTCCAGCTGCTAAAGCGCCAGTAAAAGAAAAAAATTATCTCGGGGACACGAATTTGTAATACTATTTGACGCAAAAAAGGTCCAACATGCTTGTCACCATATCTCTAACCAATCAGTTGCAGGTATTCTTTGTCGAAGTCTTATGTTCGAGAAGCCAGTTGGAGAACATGCTCTGCAACAGCACGTTTTCAAACAAATATATTTAACCACGGGAATTGAGCCCTATAGCGACTGCAAAAATAGGTGCCTCATGGAAAATACCTGTGTGTCTATGAACGTCGGTCCACCCAGCAAGAATGGACTCAGGGTCTGTCAACTAAGTGATTCTGATCACATTCAACATCCAGATGACCTGAAACCACGAGAAGGATACCAGTATTGGGCTACAAAGGTGCGGATATTTGGATAGAACACAATACGATAGGTTCATTTTCAATTCTCCTTGGTATGGTTATGCTGAGTTTTTCTTTAAAAAAAAATCCCACTAAAGATAACTTTATCCCTGCAGAATCCATGTTCAAGCAGCCCTTGTCTTCCTAATGCAACCTGTCTAAATGGGTTCACAGATAAGAGATACATTTGCTTGTGTCCAGTTGGTTTCAAGAGAAAAAAATGTGAAAGAAAAGGTGACCAGAAACTGAGAATTTCTGTTTTTACCTTAATGCTTGCGAGTTATCTCCTCCCGTAAATCTTTTACTCTGATACGTCTAGTGATACGCTTCATTATTATTATTATTATTATTATTGCTTATTAATTTTTTTTGGTTGTTCCCACCTCCAATGTTCGCGGTTGATATCCGTCTAAGAAATTTTGTATGGTTTTCTATTGATTAATCTGTCATTTGAAGGCTAAATATATCATGTAGACGATTAATTTTTTTCATGCCCCTTTAGAGCTTGTAAAAAAGTTACGTAACTTGCAAGTACTCGAACGCACGACTTATTTTAAAATTATTAAAGAAGATAAGATTTAAGGTTTTGTATCATTGCATTAATCAATAGCGAGCCTTTGTGTCATCTTTAAGAGAACTGTTAGAGATGGTGCTATAAAAAATTTGTTGATATGAGCTTGTTTGTTTTCCCCTCAGTGTTTAAAGCAATTTTTACAAATCTCAATGCCACTGGAAGATATGGTCCAACAACGCTGGGCAGTCACTACACAGGTCAGGATCATGACGGACAAGTTACACTGTCCAACGGTATTCAACAATGGACTGTGCCGTACACTGGTGACTACAAAATAAGAGCGATTGGAGCAGCAGGAGGGTACGATTCATACCCTAACAGCCCTGAATACCGTGGAAGAGGAGCAAGAATAGTTGGAGAATTCCGTTTAAAGGAGGGTGAAGTTATCCAGATACTTGTAGGTCAAGAAGGAGGAATAAACAAGAGGAATGAATCATCTGGAGGTGGTGGAGGTACATTTGTAGTGAGAGGAGCCGACACGCCTTTGATAATAGCTGGAGGCGGAGGAGGGATAGATTCTGCACAGTCAAGACATGCAGGATGTGACGCCAGCACAAACACAACAGGGAATCTAGGATACGATTCATGGTCAGGGGGGAGCAATGGGCATGGTGCGCAGACTGCTGATGATGGTAACTCAGGTAATACTGTGATGATCCCTTACCCATCAGCTCCTCATTAATGAATGTGTTAATGTATGCTTCACATGTAAATCATCGGCCCTAATCCTACATGAAACAAAAAAAACAACAACAACAACAACAACAACAACAAAAACAACAAAAAACCCCAAGACTTCCTAAGAAGAGGACCAGTCTATATATCTGGGCATATAAAAGATAGATATCAAAATCTTAAACTTAATTAATCTTAAGGCGGCTCAATAGAATTATTGTACACGCTGATATGGGTACATTAGGGATATAATTAAAAAAGGGCGTTTTGTTTACTAAAACTTTACTCATCATTTTGTTGTTTTATTTGTTCTCAGGTGGCGGTGGTGGCTGGTTTTACTCCAGTGGAAGAAACGGAGAGAATTTCAATGGAACCAAGGGAGAGGGCGAAGAAGGTGGTAATGGATTTCTTCAGGGAGGGGAGGGTGGGAGATCACTGCATCATAACGTTGTTGGTGGGTTTGGTGGAGGAGGTGGAGCTCATGGATGGGCAGGAGGAGGAGGAGGAGGAGGGTACTCTGGGGGAAGTAGTGGAAGTGGTAGTCATGATAGCTGTGGGGGAGGGGGTGGCTCTTACAACGATGGAAAGAAACAGAAGAATGAATGTTGTTATAACAAGGCTGGTCATGGTCAGGTGATTATCGCGTTGCTGTAAAAAAAAATTGACAACGTGTTATCATACAAAGTGATTATGAGGTAAGGGTTCATCTCTGTTTGACTGGCATTCTAATTGTTCTTGTTTATAGCCCAAAGGTAAATAGAGCCCTTAGGATATGAAATAATGTAGAAAATTTGTTTTTCAGAAATAGTCCCGCTCGGTATACTTTTTCACTGAGGTCACGTAGAAAGATGACGTAGTCGCATGGACGAGACATCCCAAAGTGTAATTTTACGGAGCAATTGCAATGAGAAACAAATTGCTGACGATTATATCTTCTGAAAGCTTTGGCTGTTTGTTCATACACCGTCTTTATTTCAAAACTTTACTGACCTTTACCAACTCTGCTGATCCTCAAGAAGATTAGTAAAGATTTGAGTTCCAGCAGTAATGACTGACCCTGTCACACTGGATTAGTTTGGTTTTTCGAACGCAGCTCTGATTTAAAGTGTGAGCATGGGTTATCAGATGGTGAAAACAATTTTTCAAAATTTGAATTGTCTCCCGAAACAAATAGAATTTGCACGGTGGTATAAATACAAAATTGCCAAGACAGCTTCGTAAATTGACGGGTGTAATTGTAAATAAATGCTAAAGTTTCGGACCAAAAGTAAGTAGAAAGTATTTGATTGAAGAGCATTTGTTAAAAAGCATTGCTAGTTCTATAAAATGTTCCTCTTCGATGTTTGAGTTATACGTATTGCATAAGTTTTTCTCTCTGTTTCTATGATATTAATTTAACGTTAATTTCTATAATAATAATGATGATTATGGTAATAATTTCTCTCTGTTTCTACAATAATAATTTGTATCACACCCTTTGACAGTGTGTTTTAGGTAAAGAATGTGTGTTTGTTAGATATACTAAGATAAACACGAAGATATCTCTACCAATAGCCTAGAAGCCTTTAAAACTTTCGCTTAAAAACCTTTTCCTTGACTTCTCAGTATTTTAGCCTTCAGCGAACCAGCCAGACCACGGCCTCTTATAGTAAGCTATTAACACTTGATAATTAAAATAATTTATTTTAACGATTTGAAATGGAAGATAAGTGTCAAAAGGTTTCATGAAAAGGCGGCAATGTCGATTTGTAGTGGGATATTACTTACATTTATTATAAACACAATGTTGCTTAGCTTACAAAGATAAGTTTTTTCATCACAATATTAACGTAAATTCAAAACTTTTGCTGCATCGTAGATGATACTGGAAACTTAGAGCAAAGCAATTAATAAAAATGTTCTCCAGTATATCGTTTGTGAATTTCTTGACTGTAAAGGTAATGACTTTTCAATGAAACTATTTTATATTTTCTTAACTTCGATGAATATGATTTGCGTTCACAAAACGCGAGGATTTTTTTAAGAAAAGGGAGAAGTACACAAATAATTAAAACGAAGTGAAAGAAACACAAAGCTAAAATAACAGATCCAAGTTGGGGGTAGAGGATGGGGGTGTTCTTGTCACCCATCGGAGGAAAGGGTTAAAGAACTGGAAAAAAAACCCAAACTGACATTCAGCTATCTTGATCGAACAAGCTTGGTTAATAAAGGATTAGCTATACAGCGAAAAAGATCATCGCATCATTTAAAGACCAGAAGCAAGAGAGCCTTTTATCAAGTGTTTAGGAATGTAAAACTGGTGCAGGTGTCTTCTTAAAAATATTTAGAACTGAAACTTCTGAGAAAAATTTCATTACAAAGCCTTAGGGAAAATTTATTTACCTCCTTGCGTCTGTAAAGGTAGACGTTTCAGAAAAAAGTGTGGATCTTTATAATCCCATCTCAAACTTTTCTTCACTGGATACTGAATAATGCGGAATATATTTCTATCGTATGAATCACTCACGGACCTGCAGAACTTTACGCAAGTGGCTTTTTAAGCCTCACTCGCGGTAAATCAATCATAAGAGATTAATTATGGGTGGCTAAGTTCACGAAATACCACATGAGAGGCATAATAAAACAATAAGGCTCTTATTTACGTTTGGTAATTATCTTCATTTTTCCTTCATGAATTAAATTTGTTTTGACAACTTTCGGAGCTACTTTATTCTTTTTAGCTTGCTCCTCTGTGGAAGTTGCAGAAAGCAAAGTCAATGTTAAGGACAATTATTATCCACACACTTTTCTTTCCTTCATTTTTTTCTTTAGGGAGTGAAGAGAGGGGGGAATAAACAATAAAGCAAAAACATGAATTTTCTCACTCTCATAAAAAAAAAGTTTTAGTCAAAGTTAAAGGCATTGACGAAGAAAGAACATTGAAGGTGTTAGTGTTGTTCATTGATCAACATTGGTTAATGTTGGTAAATGTTTTCCTCTATACCAATCAACTGGATTTTTTATCAACTCTTTTGGCCCTTTTTTTAAAGAAACTTTTCATCCTTTACAAGATGATTGAGAAGAATAGTATATTATCCAGTACATGAAGACCGACGTGAGGTCAAACACTCGTGAAACACCAATAATTAAAATATACGACAGTATGTAGACTGACTGCTTTTTAGAGTGAGTGCCCACATGCCAGATCCCATTTTATAACGCCATTAGTGTAATGAAATACGATCCCACATTCGGTGTTATGTTATCAAAGACAATTTGAGGCACTTCTTATGAACAAGTTATTTAATCTCAAGACTTTGCCACACAGTTATCGTCAACATCATCATTGTCATTATTCAACGCATGGCAAAACCAAAACTAGTCGTACTTGAATCCAATCCACCCATCTGATTTTTTTTAAAGCAGTCGATAAAAACAAAGATTTAATCCTTTTTCGTGACTTAGTATCTCATTTCTGGTTCGCACTGGTGATAATGATTTACAGAAATAAGCCAACGGACTAGGGAGGTTAAAATTGTAGTGCAAACTCGTAGGGATGACGACCACATAATGGCGATATCTCTATGAAGCAAATGGGAACTACACTTATTTTAATATGTCTGTATGTTCACACCATAAAAACATCGACATACAGTTTTAGCCCTGCTATGCCTTCAGGTCTTTGTCGTTATATCTCTAGTGTGAAATTGGCTCTATGAATCAACAGGCCAGCGCTGAGCTGCACATGATAACATCACTGATTAGCACACTGATTTGGCTCGTCTTTAAACATATTATTAGCTGCATCTCCTGAAAGCCAATTTTGGAAATTTTCCTCCGGTTCTGGCTTCACCCGCTTGCGCTCAACAGCAGGCGGGACTTCGCTGCAAGTGGATAATTCACTCAGAGAAGATGAATTCCTAGACTGTCTTTCAAGCGCTTCTGTAGAGACTACAAGAGGAGATAAAACAGAAAGAAAGGTTGACTTGGATTACTCGTGTCCCCGTTATTCGGTTCCCTTGCAATTTTTTGTTTAATTACAGTGGAAACCTGGAGAAAAAAGCAGTTCATTTTCACTACTGCGCCTTTGAATGAGGAAAAATCGCTAATTTGCAATTTCCTTCCCTACTACTGCCAATGATTATCGCAACAGCCAGTCATAATTCAGGAACAGGATCGTTTTAATCCTCCGAGACAACGTTCAACTTTTCTAACCGTTGGTAAGAAGATTGACTGAAGTGCCGGACACATCTTTACATTGCATTTATAACTTCAAAGTTGGTATATTAGCAGAAAATGCCACAATCTCTTCCTTCCATTTCCAACTCTGTTCGCTCCTCGGTTATTTCGTTTTTAATAACCCCCCTATGCCCCAAAATTGTGGTAGCAAGAAAACAGAATGAGGCGAGCTTTATGAGTTTTCAGTGGGTAAATAAAAGCATGCGCTCTCACCCTCTGGAAGTCGCCCGACGGAATCTTCCTTTGCTTTTGAACTCTCTTGTACTCTCTTCAGCTTTTGAAACTCTTCCATTAATTTCTTCCTGGCTGTTTTAAGTGCGTTGTTTTCAGAGCAAAGCTGGGCTACCTTATTGCTGCAAGAAAGTGTAAATTAATTTTAGCTGCCTTAAAATGAACGCTACTTTCAAAAACATCTTTTTTTTGTGCAACATTCCTCTTTGAAGCAAAATTAAGGAAATGACAAAAAAGTTTCGAAAATTGGTTCTGGTTTTCAACTTTCAAGCATGTGTAATAACCAACACTTAGCAGAAATCTCTCTGAAGATTTAATTGCTGTTTATTTGCCTCGTGGACTCAGTTCGAGATTGCGATGGATGACCTTGCTACAATAAAGACGAAAACAGTTCCATGCATAGAAAGAAGCAAATGAAAAGTCAACTAACAAACAAAATACCTTGCTTCTGTATTGAGTAAACTTAAAGTCGATTTCTCCTTTTCAAGTTTTCTCACATTTTCTTTCAAAGTTTGCGTTTCAGTTTCGAGTTTTCCAAGCTTAGCCTTGAGAGAATAAATAGCCACATTAGACACGACTCCTACTTCATTGTTCTCCTTATCGTTGGACGCGACAGGTTGACCCCTGGAATTGAGAAAAAAAAAGTTTAAACAACTCTTTTTTAATAAATGAAGATGTCACGTGCGTAGGACGAAGGAACGGTTCTGAGCCTCGATGAAGAATCGATCCACATACCTTCGGATTCCGCGCTAAAACGCTCTCCACGGAGACACAAAGACTTCACAGTTCATATGTAGAGCTTTCCAGCGTGAGTTGGACTTTTTAAGAATAGCAGACCGTGAGGATGACACAGGCAAATGATGACGTTGCTTATCGCTTGCAAGTATAATTTCTCAAGTGAATTTAGAGATGAGCGCGCCCTGATTGATCTAAGATCTCTGTAATTCTAACTAATTCTTGAAAATGGCCGACGATTGAAAATTCAAAAGTTGTCAATAGAAGTCGGTAGGCGGCGGAAACCCGCTGGCTGTTAGACCGTTTGGCAACGGCTACTTCGTGAATTGCGATCAAAGACAAAAAAAAAAAAAAAAAAAAAAAAAAAACCTTTTGAACTGATTCTAACATGAACATCTGTCTAAGAGATTTTCTCATATGTCCCAGAATGCTGGAAATTACTTCTCAGAGATTTTGAAATTTTTTTCCCTAAAGGAACTTGCCCCAGGATACAACTGAGAGAACATGTTGCTTTGCAAAACGCCATGCTTGCTATGCAAGGATTATTCAAGTTAGCCACCAAGTTCAGATCATACACTGACCTACATTTTTTTTCTGCTCAGTATGGCAACCAAAGCGAGTGTTCCTTGGATAGCTGGTGACTAAGTTATGCTTTATTTTAAGAAGAGCTTACCGCATTATACTAATAGTATCATCTGTCTCAGGTTCCCTCAATCTCTTTATCTCCAGTTTCAGCGATCTGACTTTTTCTAGGCCCCATTCCACCTCATTCTTCAGTGACTTCGTTTCATTGTCGTATTTTTCTTTCAATTTGTACAAGTCATATTGTAGTGACTGAATCTGCATGTTCTTTTGTGCTAACTCGATTCGCAAAGCTACCATTTCTTCTTGAATTTTCTTTACATCTTGCGCTTTGTGGATAATTGCTGCAAATTAAACATAGAAAGAAATATTGGCCAGTTCGTATCTCAATTACAGCGTCATGGGCTGGTTTGTCATTCTGACGTAGGTATAAGGGCACGCCGACAAACGCACGCGCGCTTCGGCATAGATAATTGGTTTCCTTTGTTGGGATAATGTAAAACAATGGGGAACCTCGAGTAGCTCGTCATTGCGCTTGCGTAGGGTCGACTCTTCTGGAAAAGCACCTTTTAAGAGATTGCTAGACTTACCACAACGCAGCTAGAGAAAACATCACAAAACAACAACGTATATCTAACTACCTTGGTGTTAAATGGCTGTGAATATATGAAAATCGTATATGTGAACTGCGGATAAAGACGTGAATGAGAAAGCGACCATCGCAGTAATGAACGCTACATACGCAGCAGTAAACATGAGGCCTGAAGAGAAATTCAGGCCTCTAGGGGATTTGAATCCACGACCTCTGCAATATCAGTGCCGTGTTCTACCGTCGGAGCTAACAAGCCAATTAGGAGCTGTTCAATATGTTGGTTCCATATAAACCCGTGGAGTGATGAATAAATGATTGTGAATATAATATATAGATTTAGCCAAGCCTAAAAGCGGAGCTCACTTTTTTTCCCGCACATCTTAAGGGCACAACGCCTTGCCCCGGCCAGGACTAGAACCCGGATCGTCCGACTCGGAGCCCAGTGCACTGACCACTGGACTACTAAAAAAAGCCGTGGCGTTGGCGTGCCCACGATACAGTTGATCATGCATGTTAAAAGTAGCGCCTTGCACGGTCGGTCGTACGGTCGCACGTCCAAACTTTTCAGC